GTTAGTTTACAGTATACAGTATGTATACGGTGTAGATTGTTTATCGAAGATGAAGTTTTTGGATATAAGATTACTGATAAATATTAAATATTTGTGACTGTGTTTTAAATTTTTGATAGAGTGTTTTTTTAATTTTAATGATAAGTAGATTGGTAAGATAAAAAAAGATTTTATTACGATATTAGCAAATAAAGAGTTCTTGATCTTTCTGAAAAATGAACATTTTTAATGTCTTTTTGATTTTCTTGTATTTCTTCATTCAAAAGAATAGTAAATATTTTTTTTTTTCTCTCTTTCTTTTTTTGTTCTTTTCCATCGATGTGTAACTTATAGAGTTGAGTAAATGGCGTATGAATATTCCGTGAAAATGCAGAATTCTTCTTAAGCATTAGTAAGCATTAGTAACCATGGCAACCATTCAACTTTCATAATTTTCTGTTTATTACTCGTTGAGTTATTACGTTATCATGGCAAGGGTATGGTGCGTTATTTAACACATCCACGTGCAGCATTTAAATAGAGAATTTAAATGCTTGCCTCGTTTTCGGAGCTCGGCCATTTCAAGAAGTCTGATCACGAGACGCGAGTTGCAAAGGATAATTTGAAATGTGATTAAATTTAAGCGAAAATATATGCTTGTTTTTAATGCATTTTACATAATATATATATATATATATATATACGCATGTGTGTGTAATGATTAGGATGATAATGATGATCGTAATTCTAGTAACAACTTAATTAAGAATTAAATTGTATATTATAGATTTTACGATGTTGTTAAATTCGTGTTGCAGAACCTGTTTAAACATCAATTTTAAATTCATTCAATGTAAATGATAATTAAAAAAAAAAAAAAGAAGAAGAAGAAGAAAAAATTTACTATCGACGAAAATGAATATATTAATAAAAAATCACTTACACACACGTTAAAACTGATAGACACTTGATACTTGATACGCGTTGAAATAATTAAGTGAAAGCATAAACTTGATAAAAAAAATATCAAATTTTTAATAATTCGAAATTCGCTATCGCGTTTCCATGATAATAAATTAAATCGAGAGATTAAGAAATTCTCGTTGAAATACGAATTCGTTATCTTCTAATTAAACTCTACGTGACTAATATAGCATTATATTATCTTCATTATACCTAAAAATACATTTAAAAAAAAAAAAAAACTGAAATCAAAATATCTGTCACGATTCAAACTCAATTCGCTTCCCGTCTCTCGACTGGAATCCTTCTCAATTTTTATTCCATCCGCGTAACATTTTTTTTAGCCACAAAAATACACGAATCCTCCATCCGAAAATCGAGGAAGAAAGATAAAAAAAAAAAAAAAAAAAAGAAAAATCTCGAATCATCCAATCCAATGTCGCGAAATAAAATTAATTATATAAACAGTCGCGATTAATTACAAGAAGCGAATAAAAACGGAAGAAAGTTCGGTTGGACAAAAGGCAGGCGTCGCGACGTCGTCGTTAATCGTCTTCGGGATTTAATTACGCGATTCAACCATTGGATTTTTGCGCGGAAACGCGCGCTGCCCGAAAGCTCGTTGTCGGTCGCGCGCGATTTCAATTCGTGCCCCTTTCCGTATTTTTTTTTTTTTCTTTTTTTCGTTTTTCCTTTCCATTTCCTTTCTCCTTCCTCTCTTCCTCCCTTTCTCTCTCTTTTTCACTGTCGCCACGGCTCGAGCTTTTGTGCGCTCGCTGCTGCCGGATTTTTGCATACCAAAGGCCACGGAATGTCGGCGCGCGGCTTGAACGCTTGAACCCGCCTCGACCAATTACGTCTCCTGAATTACATATCGCGACGCATCCCGTTTACAGAAATCCCGTTTTTTTTTTTTTGATCTCGGCGAAGGTGTCTCGTGATTTTGAATCCGAAGTATGTAGGTTCAGCGTTTTAGACGGTTTAGAAAAGCTTTGGATGTCGTGACACCAGACGAATTGTCGGAGGAGAAGGGAAGCAAAGATGTGGAAAATTTGAACGAAAGCGAAGATTTCTTTTCTTTTTTTTTTGGAAGGTTTTATTTTTTGGGATTTTTTAAGCGCATCTTTCGTTTTTCGAATTTGTTTGAAAAATGTTTTTTTATTCGCACGATTGGAAAATTGTATAAGGATATAAATCATTTGGATGAAAATGTTTTCTCGTTTTGTA